CACACACACACACACACACAGCCTGTTCCCCTTTCCTGCGGCCCTGGGGTGGGGGTGGGGTGGGGGAGAAGGGAAGTTGGCAACAGGAAGTGAGGAGAAGAGCAAAGAGGACTGTGAGGGAGGGAGTAAAAAAAAAAAAAAACCAGCTGGGGACTGGGTTTCTCCCTCAGTACCTGGGTCACCCCAGCCAGATCTGGTGGTGAGAAAATGGTGGGGGGAGAGGAGGAGGCAGTTAGGTGGAGAGGTTTGGGGAGGGGCACAGGCAGAATAACTACCTCTTTCTTTCCCCTTTCCTGGCAGGCAGGACCCCAGCCCCTCATGTCAGAGCCCCCTGTGTACTGTAACCTAGTGGAGCTTCGCCGCTGTCCCCGGTCCCCACCCCCAAGCCCTGCGTGTGCCCCGCTACAGAGGCTGGACGTCTGGGAGCAGCACCTGGACCCTAACTCCGGACGCTGCTTCTACATAAATTCGTTGACTGGCTGCAAGTCCTGGAAGCCTCCACGCCACACTCGAACCCGAGAGACGGTGAGACCTTCCCTCCTGCTTGTCTCTGTCCCCTCAATTTCCTTCTTTCCCCTACTGTATTCCAAAGTAGTGTGTTTTCTTTCTGGGGCTGTCAGAAGATCAGAAGAATCAGAAAATTGTGAGAAGGGTGTTGAGAGGGGGTTGAGGTGGCATCTGGATGTAGCTTTACCTCCCCTTCCCCCCAGAACCCTGGCTCCATGGAGGGAACACAGATGCTGAATAGGGGCAACGGTGTCCTGCAGCCTCAGGCGAAGGGCTCAGGACCTGACACAGGGTCTCCAGAACTGCTCAACCTCCAGGTGAGATCCCTTCCTCCCCCGGGTGACCTGCAGGAAAAGCCATCTTTCCACGACTTTCTCTTTTATGCAAGACATTATTACACTCCCATCACCCACATCCGCACCCCTCTCCCCCACCCCCAGCAGAGGACTTCCAAGCTAAAGTTTCCTCCACCTGTTTCTCCACCCCCTGCCCCAGGGTTCACCCTGCCTCTGCCAGCGCCCCTCCCAGCTTGACCCCTCTGACCAGCCTTCAGCCTGGCAGCCCCTTCGGCCTCTGCCGCAGGTCCTGGAGGACCCTCACGTAAGTCTCCCCTTTCCCTGTGAGCGCCTGGATCCTCCCAGCCCCACCCCCCAATCCCTGCTCCTCCGGAGACATCTTCCTCTTTCTGAGCGTCCTCCGGGTATCCTCCCTTACCCTGCCCCCCCGCAGCTTTAAAGGACCTCACCCCCGGGAGACCCCCTGGGGGAAGCCGGAGGACCTGTGAGGGGCACTGGGTGACTTACTGGTACCCCTCCCTCCACTTCCCAGGAGGTGGAAAAGTCGGGTCATCTCAACGTGACTAAGATTGCTCAGGGGGGACGCAAGCTCAGGTGAGGAGGCTGGGAGTCCGCCGGGGCCTGCGGGGGGAGAGCGCGGCGCTGGGAGGGCGCCCTCTCCCGTGACCCCGACTGACCTCTGCACTGCTGCCGCGCCCTCTGCCCCCGCAGGAAGAACTGGGGCCCGTCTTGGGTGGTGTTAGCCGGTAACAGCCTGGTGTTCTACCGAGAGCCACCCGCAGCCGCACCCTCCTCAGCCTGGGTGAGAGTGAGGGTGGGAAGGCCGGGTGCCCGAGGGGCACGGTTCTACCCTCCTCAGGTCAACCGTGGGGCGCAGCTGGGGAGGGAGGGATAGAGGAAGGGAAGGAATTAGAAGGAAGCACAGCTTCCCGTGTCCCCGCGGTCCACCCGGTGGGAGGGAGACGGTGCGGGAAACCGCACCGTGGCCTCAGCTTCTCTCCCGATTACCAGGGACCAGCGGGCAGCCGACCCGAAAGCAGCGTGGACCTACGCGGGGCGGCCCTAGCCCACGGGCGCCACCTGTCCAGCCGCCGCAACGTCCTACACGTGAGTGCTGTCTCCAGCATCCCCACAGCTCCTCCTCCCCGAGGGTGCGCCCTCAATTTCCCGCACCAGTCTCCCATTCGGCCTCCCTGCTTTGCATGCGCCTCCCCGCTGACCCACGCCTTC